AACATGCAAACATGTTATAAACATGCTAGCGAGGTGTTAAAACATGCAAGAAACAGGTTAGCAAGCATGCTAAGACCTAGCAACTACATGGCAACACCCTAACAACCACACATAACCCCTTAGTGACCACTCAGAACACCCTAGCAATTGCTTATCAACCACCCACAGTACCATAGCAACCACATAGCAATGGTTTAGTAACCACCCAGAACACCCTGGCAACCACCTATCAACCACCCATAACACCATAGCAACAACTTGGAATACCATAGCAACTGCCTAGCTACAACCTAGCAACCACCCGTAACACCCTAGCAACCATCCAGAGTACCCTAGCAACACCCTAGCAATCACCTTGAGCACCCTAGAAACCAACTAATAACACCATAGCACCCATTCAAAACCAGCAAGAACACAGTTGCATCTGTCTGAGAAACTTAACCTTCAAATTTTGAGCTTTTAAATCTATCTAAACATACTAGCTGTGTGTTTAATCATGTTAAAACATGTTAGCTGTGTGCTAAATGATGCTAAAACATGCTAGCGGTGTGTTAAATGATGTTAGAAACATGCCAAAACATGCTAGTAATGTTAAATCATGTTAACAACATGCTAAAATACATTAGCAATCTATCTATCTATCTATCTATCTATCTTCAAGATTTGAAGCAACTACTTCAAACTTTCAGGCTTGGCTTTCTCAAGTCAACCTACAGTTTGTCTTGACAAACATTATCTAGTTTATGATGAAACTGCAAAAGTAGTGATGTGAAATTAAAAGAAAAAACTGAACGACTCAAACAGTAATTTGATTTATGGCACTGTATGTGGTGTTTAACTGTGTTTGTCTTGTTGTTTGTTCAGAGAGGCACACCTTCATCACACTTTACACTGAAATAAATGGACAGACGGTTGCAGGATTCCCAGATATTTCTGCTGTAACTACACTGGATGGACAGCAGATTGATTATTATGACAGTGAGATAAAGAAGCTGATTCCCAAACAGGACTGGATGAAGGAGTTTGCATCTGAAGACAGATTTAAAGAATACACTGAGTTCAGAGAACGAGTGCAGCAGACCAACAAAATCAACATTCGTTTTATAATGGAGCGATTCAATCAGTCACATGGTGAGTTACAATACTTTATACTATAGTTTTAAACGTCAAGAATGACCTTATACAATAAAAATACAAGTAAGCCCTCTCTCTCTTTTCCTCAGGTGTTCATGTGTATCAGAGGATGTATGGATGTGATTGGGATGATGAGACTGGAGAATCACGTGGGTTTGATCAGCACGGTTATGATGGACAGGATTTCATCTTTCTAGACATGAAGGAGTTCAGATACGTCACACCTGTACTGCAGGGAATAATCACAATGCAGAAGTGGAACAACGACAGAGAACAACTTGAATTACTGAAACAATACTACGAATACGAATGTGTTGAGTGGTTAAAATATTTCTTGACGTCAAGGAAAGCGGGTTTAGAGAGAAGAGGTAGCTCGTCTTCAAGAAATTCACTTTGTTCAACAAGTAGATTATTTTTGATTAGGGCAGATCCCCCCCCCACCCACCTTAAGGACTGTATCATTTTTCTGTTTATTTAGTTAAATGTGTCCAGAATAGTCATCTCAGTTTTAGTGACAATGACATAAATTATAAACCAAGCATGAGTTTTCATCTGATTAGATTTTTAACAAAAATTTTATTTGTACCAAGGTGGGGACAAATTCCCTCGGTCTGACAAAAGCAATTTGCTTTATACATTTACAGCAAAATCAGAGTACAGGCAGTTTTAGCTTAAAATTTTAAAGAATGTAATCAATAATTATGAATTACAAAATTATAATAGCCTATTTGAAAAATATTGTTACCTGATGCTAACTTAAGGTTATTTTTAAATATAAAGTCCAAATATTTTTATTCAACCAACTAGTTAGAATTCATTTGATGGAAAAACAAAGGATTTGATGTGGATAACAGAGTAACTACAGTAATGAAGCCACGCACCCTGGAGCGTTTTACCCCACAGACTAGGTTTGAGAAAAAATATGTAATTCTAAAAATAGTATTATATTTTTCTTTAATAACACATACTCCTTATCTACAGGCCTAACTATTCTCATATCATATATAACTGTGATGTTCTACAAAACAACAAGTCAACACAGTCCATAGTTGCAACAAAAATGTATCTTGACTTTATCTAGTGGTTAGGGAGGCATTTCCCCCCACTCTATCCTATAATAAATAAGTCATTGGTGTTTGTCTATTTTTTTTTTTTTGCCTCATTAACCCTCTGGTGCACTTTGGTTAATTTTAACTGAGAAATTTTGTTTACAAAAAATGTTTTGTAAAAAATCATAGCTTCATGAGAAAACTGCATTTTTAAGGCCTAGTCTCTATTTTAACCTGAAATACTGCATTAATTAAAAAAGAAATTACAAATATTTGTGGGGGAAATTATTTACATAAATTGCATAAGTTATTGTATAAATATTAATTAGTACCATAAAATTCTCTCAAAAAAAAAAAAATTTGAACAAAAATGTTACTTTTTTTTCTGTTACATTCTGTTACATTTCAGGTGTCATTTGAGGAGCACTGAAGGGTTCAAACAAAATGTAGCTGTGTTTATGTTTAAGTTGATCTATTGCATAAATTGGAAGTATTTTCATCACTTTTTTTCTCAATTTTTTGTAGCTGCTGTAGTGTCTCTGTTACAGTGGAGTTCCTCCTCTCCAGTAGTGTGTCATGCCACAGGTTTCTACCCATCAGCAGTGACTATCACCTGGTTAAAAAATGGAGAAGATCATGATGAGGACATGGATCTTGGAGAGATACTGCCAAATGAGGATGGGACCTTCCAGAAGACATCTATCCTCAATGTTCCTCCAGACGACTGGAAGAAGCACCAGTATGTTTGTGTGGTGGAGCACGAGACAGGGACCATCCGGAAGATTCTGACTGAGGACGAGATTAAGAGTAACAACAGCGAGTAAAAAAAAAAATCTTAATCATACTTTTAATGCTTTGTTTTCATAGTTATTCTCTCTCTCTCGCTTCAAAGATTCTCATGTCAAGCTCCAAAAGCAAGAAAAGAGTAAATATCAAGAAATTAGTTTGTGAGACTGTATTTCAGGGCTATTATTTCAGGTCTTCTGAAGTCATGTGACAGCTTTGTGTGTTTAAGTCATTATTCAGTATATAGCATGTTACTGATACACAGTGCTGTTTGTGTGCGTTCTTCTCCTCATATGACTCTGTATACAGCCAGAAAGCACTCAGAGTTGTTTTCATTTGTATTACAAATGCACCAAAGTTGAATAAGAAGACGATGTCAATATGAGTCAGTCTTAAAAAAAAAAAATCACACAGCTCAAACCATTACAGTGGCTTATTAGGACCAGCTGTGAGGTGACCCAAAGAATCACTTTTTTTTTTATATGCGTGGATTATTTTTGTTTGTATTGATTATTATTGATTTGATCAGTTTCTGTGTTACTGTTTCTGTGAATTTTTATTCACGTGTGTCTATTTTTTAGGTCCTCTAGAGTTATACATTAGAATTCTTACCATATTGTTGGGATCAAGCGCAGCAGCAGCTTTGTTTTGGATTGCTTGCATTTTACACAAAAAAAAGGCATCTTATGGTAAGTATGTTTACCTGTCGATCTCTGAGCTGATATAATTTCTCATTCAAGTGGTCTCATCAGCTGCAGTGACATTAGCATTCAAAAGTTTGGATTCACACACACATTTTCATGTTTTTGACACATGACCAAGATGGAATTAAATATGCTTTACTAATAATTTTGCGAATCATTATTATGTCATTTTACATTGAAGTTGACATGAAATTAAATCTATTTTCTAAATGCATGTTATTATTGTGAATGATTGATCTGTGCACATGTGTGGGGTTCTTTTCGTAACTGACCTCTTAAAGTCATAACTGGATGTTTGGTGAAATGACAGACTTTGGTGACACATGCAGGACTTCTCCAATCCATCCAATCAACAACTGATACACAGAACCATATCCATTACACATCACAATGCGGAAGAAGTTATCTATCGCTATTTCTGCGTAATCTCCACTTTAAACTGCAAAGCCTCATTTCAGTAGCCACTAGAATGTCTGGGTGATTACAAATGTTTGAATGCTAGTACCTGCTCCAAAATGTCTTCAAATATCAAGAAATTAGACATATTGTTAATAACTTGTCTCTCCGTGATCATAATATCAAGATGCATGAATGCATAATCCAGTTTTAAATAGCAGTGTTTACATGGACCACAATAATCCAGTCTTATTCAGACTAGTCTAGCTGATGGCTGGTCTAAAGTCTCATAACCAGATCAATAAAAACTGGATTGAAAGAGTTTTTCAAAAGAAAATCTGCATTTCAAAAATTCTGATCTAATAATATCTTTTAGAAGTTTTAGATGTGTACTGGTTTGATGAAACAGAGATTTAGTGTAAAATATGTTAGCTTTGACTTTGCTATGTTTATAAAAACAAAGCCAAATGTTTAAGCAGCATTTGAGAGAGTTTGCTGTTTTGTCACATGCTGCTTTAGTGTAATTAATAAGAGCTTCTTTTATTCTTTATGACATTCATTTTCAGAAACCAAAGTCTGAGAAAGCGTTTCATCCCGTAACACAGGCCGACAGCGATGGACAATCGTCTGCACAGTCCCTGGATGTGGGCAAACAGATGATGTTGGACAATAATGGATAATAGATGTGATGAGAACTTTTGTATAACATCCATGAGCAGTACAGTAAGTGATGTGTGGATATCGATGTGATCGATGAAAGAATATCCAGATGCTGTGTGTACATGAAACTTGCATTAATAATGTGTGCCTTTGATGTATGTGATTAGATGTATTACTGTGTGTGTGTGTGTGTGTGTGTGTGAACTTCTTTCACCTCTTGCATTTGTAAATATTGTCAAGTTAAGTCACCTTTATTTGTATAGCGCTTTATACAATACAGAATTGTAAAAGAAAAAAAAAAAAAGGTTCTGTAAATGCAGAATATTTTATTTTCAAGATATATACATTTAACGATTATAAATTTTTTAAAGGACCAGCTTTGTGAGTTTTTATTGTTAAAATGAAACATTAAAAAAAGAACACCATGCAGATCTTTGTCTTTTTCAGTATTTTTTTTCCACATTAATTTCACACTTGTCAAGTACAAATACGTGGTTTTGGTTCATAATAATAGTGTATACTTTCTTTCTTTATTTGTCCCAAAAGAACAGAAGTGAAATGTGACAACATGCCCCATATATGTGGGGTACACTGTAACATCTGGGGGGCACGTTGTAACATGATCATATGACATAATAAAATGTTATCTGATCTAATGAAAGAAATATACAAGACTAAAAACTAAAATATTTTGTCAGTAAAATAATGAACTTTTTAAATAAAAAAATTGTTTTTTAAGTGAAAAGTGTCTGAGAAAAACATGTATCTGCTGTCAGATGTTGTCATTATTCTAACGTTATTTTCGTATCTTGTAGTGAAATTAAAAATAAGTCTCTCACCTCAGAAAAACTAACTGTCCTGTCAGATGTTACACTATTCACGCATTTTTCTGTTTAAAATGTGGAGGCGCGTGCGCTGTATATAACATCATATATAAAGAGCACATACATTTTATGTTACATTACAACATTAACATTTTATCTCAAGGGAAATTTTGTCACTGACGATTAATTACACATTTTAAATAGCAAATTCTAGTCATCAGAACACATTAAATGAACGTGCAATTGGATGGTAATGAAAATACAGATAGCACAGGTACGTCAGCAAGACGTCTGTTAAAGATCGCTTCATCTGGAAAGCATCTGCTGTCTACAAACATCTGACAGACGTCTGTGAGGTGTCAGTTTTACATCATAAACATCTTAAAGACATCTTCTAAACGTCTATTTGACATCTGATAGGAAACATCCTATAGACGTATTGCAGATGAGCAAACACTCTAAAAAATACATCTTGCAGATGTAATGCAGACGTCAAATAGACGTCTCAGTGATGTGCGTGTGCTATCAGACCCATGACTTTGCAGTTATGTTGCCAATAAGTTATGAAATGACTTAAGTATTATGAGTATAATATGTAGCTGGGCCGTTCTTGGTTTTCTTATAACCATAAGAGTTAGCACTGACGATGTTTTGAGTTGGTAATTTGATGGTAATGAAATCATGGGCATGCAATGTCCTATTAACGTCCAATTATTAAATCATGAAATGACCAAAACATACCTATAGATTACATAACTGGTACATCGTGTGTTTAAGAGATGTCAGTGCAACTGGCTTTCAGTTAAAACAGCTCATTTTAGTCCAGGACTAGCTTAAGCCTTGTCTGTGAAACCGGGGGCCAATTGCATAATTTTCCTCCTCAAGGGCCGATGTGACTGCTGCTGAAATATTGTTCTTGGTAATGAAAATGAAGGCACGTAAGGCACCTTTTGGCTCACGAGAGGTTGTGGAGCTTCAGGAGGACAGGGCTTTATTTGGCACTGGATTGTGTAAGGACTTGTCTGAATTTATTTATACAGTGAAGACTATCCAGTGTTATTTTACGTTTGATTACTTCATTCAATTTCTGCAGTATTTCTGTACCTGAATATTAGTGTTAGATCTACCTGTTAACAGAAATGATCGAATGTCTGTCTGGGAAAAAAATGGTTACTGAATAAAGCGGTCAACTTGTGAGTAAAACTTTCCTCCTTAAACATCCGTATTGAAACTGTTTATATAGACCTGCAGCTTCCCTCAGTAACCACTTCATCCTGTGGATGTGGTGAAGTTTTTGAAGAGTGTTTGCAGCGCACTTTCACAGCTACGCTTATTTGAGAGTCAAATGCATAGATCTTTATCCATAATGAAGGTCATCGTTTTCTTCATCTACGTACCTTTTGTTTACTCAGGTGAGATTCATTTCATACCATCATTTAAAGGATGAATTCTCTGTTAGCTAACCAAGTAAATCCATATGTAGGCTCTCATGAATATAGCCACAGAAGCTGGCATGGCGTTAAAAAGGAAAGAAAGATTTTTCTGTCAGCAAGGCCTTCAGCTACTTCCCTTTAGTTTTATTAATATGTTGAATAAGCGTTTATTTTAGTGCTTCAACGTAAACTAATTTCAGCTTTTTGCCTTTTTGTTTAGTTTCAACTAATATTTTTATTATATTTATTTATTCGATTTATTGTTAATTTTGTTTTATTTCAGCTTTATTTTAATTAACAGAAATGTGTTTAATAGTTTTAGCTATCGATAATATCCCTGGTTGAACTGATAGAAAATCATGTGGTGTTTTCTAATTTTCTCAAATATAAAACAATTTATTATTATTATTTTCTCCCTTTTTATCAAATTAGTTTTTTATCTAGTCCTACATGAATGACTAAAGATATGAACATTTGGATGCAAATTAACCCGTTAACATAGATCCATAGATTCAAGAACGCTTTGAAATACAGGCCCAAGGTTGGTCTTTTTAAAGAAGACACACTGCAGATTATAAACACGTGAAAAATGAACATGTAAAAAAGTTCTAGAAGTTTTAGTAAAGCCAATGTACTGAACTTATTTTATATTAAATTTGTTTGACAAAATAATTTGGACTGTAAAATTGCTATAAAAATATACCGGTATATCTAACCTAGTGATGCTCCAAATTTGAAGTTGATATCACAAAAACTGAGCCCGCAAAAGGTTTTATAGTACAGTTTATAATGTAACACAATGTTGTCTGCTAACCAAAAGGACTGGGATGTGAAACTGCCCCTGGTGCTCATGGCTATCAGAGCAACTCCACAAGAGTCAACAGGTGTGCCTCCCTTCGAACTAATGACAGGCCGGCAAATGACATTGCCCTTGCACCTGCTGTACCAGCCAGGAGACTCCAACCTTGTCACCGCCTACACCACTCATCAATACCTTGATGAACTACACCGGCATTTGAGA